ATATACAAGAAAGAAATTGGGAGAAAGGATGGAAGAAATCTTGCTTTAGGATGTTTAACCATTGTTTGTGTAAAATTAGAAACAGTGGTTAGAAATAACCATTAAGATAACTTCCACACAAGAAAATACAAGTGTTGAACAGAAGGGGATTCCAAACAAGGTTTCTTCATATCTGCCTCATCCTCATATCTGCCTCAAATGGGGGAATTGTATGGATCTGTGTTCCACAGGTTGTTTGACCCCATTAGAATCAGCTTCAAACTGCCTTTCAAATCTTAGGCCTCCTTCTCACACTCTTAGTGGGGCAACTTCATTTTCCAGGGGTAGCAAGTTCTTTAGGGCTACACAACAGAGAGTGCACAGGTAGCTTTGTCCGCAAGGAATTATCAGAATGCCAGCAACAGAAATCTCAGACTGGACAAGGTTCTGCAATAATGTCACTTATGCTCAACTGGGGAAATAATTCTGATCATCAACTTTAGAGTTATCTAATTTGGCTTACTGTCCAGAACTTCCTCTGGCAAGATGCATCCGTAAACAGACTTCCATAGGGGAGTCTTTGCACCATTCCAGAATGAGTTCTGCGCCTGCGTGATCTCACAGCACTGTCTTGGTTTGATGGCTAGTCCCAATTATTTCAGGTTATGTTTGTGGTTTATTTAAAACCACAGCAAACCTGGTCTTCCTTTGAACTACTGCAGCTGTGGGAAGTTTGTGGGTGTCCTATTTCCTCATCTGTAGGAGGAAATTTTGCTTCACCTTGCCCCCACCCCCAGCTTCCAGACTACAGACACCCTAACAGGTCTTTCAAGGAGAAAGTCAGCTTGGTAGTTCTGCTCCTCCCTGTGATAGGATTTGCTCAGACGGTTTGCTAGTTGGTTTGTTTGCATATGAGCCGACACATACAACACAAGTAAAGACACTGGGGAAGGGGGCAAGCAGTTCACTTTATTTTTCCTTTTGTGTGAAGGGGTGGGTTAAGGATTTTTGAACCTCCAGTGTTTGGAGTAGGACACTGATTTTTGTGCCTTGCTTTCAGCATGTTGGAATCTGCAGATTGTCATTAAGTTGCTTTCAAAGAGCTGGGGAGAGGAAACAGGGTGGGAGTGGAAGTGCCCTTGCTTAGCTTCCGTTTGGATGACATGACTCAATGCATTTGCAAAATATTCTATTCATGAAAGCTCCTCACGCTCTTTCAGAAGTTCTTAGATTCTGGAGAAGCAGCAACAATAAGAGAACTTGTTCTGACACACGTGATGCTATGTTCCTTAGTCCTGGGGCGCTCTCCCCGATGGAAGCATTTGGATGAGTCTCACCTTAGGGTGGAGTCATCAGGATTAGCGCAGTCACTGCCATGTATGAACAGGAGCAGAGAATGAAAGGGCCAAGAGGAAGATACGCAGGAGAAAGACAGGGCGGGAGAGGCTATAATGAGAAAGGAGAGCTCTGCAGATCGACATGAAGAAGTAGGAGCAGGTGCAGATGGCTTTAAAGAAGAGCCTAAAGCACTCAAAACAAGATGAGCCACAAAGGGGGGGGGGGGAGAGATTAAATTTTCCGAGTTTGGATTGGGGAGATGCCCACGAGGGAAAAAAGGCACAGGGAGTCCTTTGTGGGTCAAGCATCTGCTCTCAAATTAGTAATGTCCAAAAGGTATGAAAGATGGTTAACACTGGGGCCTTGCACCTTGCAAATTCATTTTGCAAATTAGACACCCAAAGAAATGGAACCCTGAGATTTCTTTAGGAATCACGCTAATCCCACTTTTGCAGGGTTACTACCCTACGGCCAGACCGATTGATCACCAAAAGCATGACTCTGCTTTCCTTATGTATGCTTTATTTGGATGTGATCTCTCGATCACATCAGATACATCCCTTTCATTGCTTCTAATTTCAATCTCAGAGCTCTCCAGGAGTCCTAATGAAAAGTGTCACTCTTTTAATTAGGCGTAATAAGCTTTCGGGCTGGATGGCCATCAGAACAAAAGAAAATTAGACGATGGTCATTCAACCCAAAAGTTCATCACATCTTCATGGATGCTCCCCATGAAAGCCCACACCAATATATTTTCACTCTTTTAATTGGGTTTTTCTGGTCCCGGCCATCTGCCCTGTCCAGGCGCCTTGGCTCTGGAGTGCCACAGCTGCGTGGACTTTGGCGACGGCGGTTGCAGCCAGGAGCGCATGAAAAAGCTGACCTGCCCAACCAATGCCCGTGTCTGCGTGGAAACGGTGGCTGCTGTGGAATGGAGTGAGTAGCAAGAAATGCCTTTTCCTGCCCTAAAGGGGAAGTGTCAGAACAGAGTTGAGTTTCAGATTCCTTCTTTATTCTAACTGCAAATGTAAAACCCTGACTTTCGGTTTCTCCAAAGCGTCCTTCCCTTGCAAACAAGATTTGTTTTTCTGCCTCCCTCTCGAGATGAGTCAGAATACTTTTCCTTTCCTTCTGGGGGTAACTTTCAGCATCCCTGATTGCTAATAAGTTGGTGATGGATATCGGGGCCTTGCTCCACCCCTCTGCAGCCTCCCTGACTCTCTTGATTTCCCAATCTGTACAGTAATGGCTTTTCAGAAGGCATTTCCTTCTGAGGAATTAAAGGAGGATGAATTCACTTGGGGTTTGGTGGAAGGGTGGGAGGCTACAAATTCCGGAGAGACAATCCCACAGTGAAAGAAGGAGCATTTGCACACATTCCATGGTCATCTTATAACTGCTGGTACCCAGATTTTCCCTCCACCTAAGACTGTGAATGATTTTTAAACAGAAACCCTGGGAACTTTGATGCAGCCCTGATCATCATTCAAAAGTGAGGGCGAGTTACTCTGTACATCCTCAGAGGAATGACATAATTACACATCTTCCCATCTTGAGTCATTGCAGTCCCATTCCGTTTCTGAGCTACTGATTCAGGGGATGCTGTGATTGCTAAATTCTGCCTGTAGTTCAGGAGGAGATGAATCCTACATAATAAAAGGAGGAGATTGAAGATTTCTGTCCCTTTCTTCTCTTTTTTTTTTTTTTTTTCCTGCCAATCATCGCCTTAATTGCTTCATGCACCATAACGTTCAAATGTGGAACTCACTATCACAGGATGTTGTGATGGCTGGATTCAGGGATGTTGAATTTACCAACTGCTATTAGTCGCAAGTGCAAAGGATGAAGACGTCCATGTATGCTGCATGTTAACACAACCTAAACTAATACACAATTTCCCAACAATGGGGATCAGAGCACAATTAAGTTTTGCATTCTTCTAGGTCAGTGTTTCTCAACTTTGGGGACGATGTGTGGACTTCAACTCCCAGAATTCCCCCAGCCAGCAAGCTGGCTGGGGGAATTCTGGGAGTTGAAGTCCACACATCGTCACCAAGGCTGAGAAACACCGTTCTAGATTATCTTACCTTCCTCTGTAACCTCTTTGCTCTTTCAGGTCACGGGAAGTTCTCAGTTGGTGAAAAGGGCTGCGGACTGGGGATGCCAGGCACGAATGACAAAGCGGTGGAGGTACATGGTATCCTGGCCTTCTCTCAGTTGCACCAGTGCAATACAAGCCACTGCAACACTAAACTGGACATCAAAGCACTACAGCTGCAGCCCATGGGTAAATCCCACCCCAGATAACAATGATGCCTCTCTTTAGAAGAACATTAGCATTATGCATCCGTTGCTATGAGAACGGGGAGTAAGTGTTGGAATATTTTCCCAGCATCCTTAATGAACTGGGACCTCCCAAATATGAACTATTGAGTTTCACTGTGGGATCCTGCCTGGAGACCGCCAAAAAATCCCTCGCTTGTAAATTAAATCAGTTGCAAATTAAATAAATTCTAGGCCTCCCTTAGGCCTGAAAGCCGGCTGGGTGACTTTGGGCCAGTCCTTCTCTCTGAGCCCAACCTGCCTCACAGGGTTGTTGTTATGGGGAATATAGGAGGAGGAAGGAGTATTAAGTATGTTCACCCCCTTGAGTTATGTATAAAAAGGCAGAATAAAAATATAATAATGATAACTACAACAGCAGGAAGAAGAAAAACACAAGGAAGAAAACAGTGGCAAGATAGATGATGGATAGATAGATAGATAGATAGATAGATAGATAGATAGATAGATAGATAGA